TCAACCCCAATACCCCTCTCCACCAGGCATTTCCATCCCAGTATATGACAGACTGCAGAGCAGAGTATTTGCCCACCCCATGCTCCTGTATTCACCAGGGTAGGTCAGGACCTCCCCGCCACCTTCTGACCTCAGGTTTGTACAGAAATTGGCCACCTCCTGCATGGTTTTTCCACACACTGAGCTTGCTTTCAGAAAAGTACATCAGACTCGTGAACCCTGCATGGGGAAGACAACTCAGGCTCATCCTCATTACTTGCACAAGCCCTTGTTTCCACACAAGACCCCTGTGCTGGATGCACACATACAAGAGCCCCACCACTGTCACCACTATTAAACAAGAGTATCTGGTCTGTGAGCAACACCAGTGACTGAGTACTTCTTTGGTGTCTTCCTGTTTTGTCACCTGTGCTTCAGCCCCATCACTTTCCCCTTCATATCTCAAGTCAACAGGGTCATCGCCACACACTGACAACAGCACATGGGTTCGGAGGACAGGAACCGGTCAAAGATCATAGAGATACAGAGGTCTGGGACCTTGCAAAGTTCCCCAGCTGGGAAGTAAACTAGGGACAGAAAGATCAAAACCAAACCTGGATCAAGTCCTTTCTGTCTCCAAGATGTCTGAGGTCCAGAGTTTCAATTTGGCCTTTTGTAGAAAGAATTGACTAATCTGAGAACTCTTTGAAATGTTCAATTTCATAAGACAACAAAAGCCTAAATGAAATAATGTCAGAAGATTTCTTTTCATATCCAGCTGCCCCACAGTAAAAGCTCATCACTGTGTTTGGACAATCTGTGCTGCAAAGTAAATCCATCTCCAAAAGGGAAAAATTGCCCCGAACTCTGCTCACTCTCAAGAGCTGATAAACAGAAATCACCACTCCCTACTTCCTTCACACATTTCCCCAGCTCTGAAGGACAAGACGTCAAATTCTCTGACTGCTTTTATTCAGTTTAAGGAATGATGTAGCCTTCCTTTTTCAGCCCCAACTATGTATTCCCCTCACCTTGCTCTCCCTTCCAGTTAAACATGACCGCAGAACCCAGGGGGCTATGGGGGGAGCTGCGCTTGTTCACAGCACCTGATTGCTGAGCAGGTCTGAAGGTGCAATGAACTTTTGAAGCCACATCAAGTGAAGCTTTTACATGGGAGAAGGAGAAAGAAGCCATCTCTAAGGGTTTGAGAACATCTCAAAAGTAACTGTGCTAACAACACACACTTGCAATGTGATTTCATATCAGAAGGCAAAGCAATCCCAACCTTGAAAGTTTGGAAATGATTTTCAGATCTGACAGTGCCCCCAGGCTAAAACCTGTAGTTGAGGGGTTTTAAAGCCTATCTTTAATCAAAATGACAATTTCCTAAAAGTATGAGTCATTTCATTTCCTCAACAATAATAACAGGAAAGGAAACTTTTTTTTTTTTTTTCAAGTTGAAAAGAGAGAAAGTAACAAGAGCAGAACCTATAACAGCAGCAAAACCAGTCCCAGTAGAAACCACAAGCCCTGCAGCAAAACATTGGGAACCTTCTCTGCTGAAGTTGTCCCACAGATTCCCACCTTTCTTGCTAGGCTTTGGACTAGCTCTAAACCTTGGATCACCGATGTCCTAAAATTGCCTGGATTTCCCAGCAACAAGTTAGCTGAGGCTAGGTTTTGCAATGGGTTTCATCTGACTACCCATTTTCTTCTCCATGCACAACCTAGCAGCACTTCTCCCCTTGTCAAACGCATGTTTAATTGCAGCACTTAAATGCTCAAAACCCAGTGTGCTCACATGTTATGGTAGGCAAAAATGGCAGGCTGAACTTTCTAAACGTGGCTTAAATCCATGCATCACAGAGCACATTTTGGCAGGCATTAATGCTTCTTTTCAACATCGTTGCAGACACACAGATAACAGATACTCCAGAGATAGGTAGTTAAGAGGCAGCAAGAAAGACGCCTGGGCATATGGTTAAACAAATCAGTAATCAATTCACTGGGAGAGCTTTCATTTCCAGCACAGCTATCTGTTGGATCCCAGAACTGTTTTTACGTGGTTCATTAGACAACAGTCTTTCTTGCTACTAGTTGGGTCAAGACTCAAAATTGCTGTGTAATTGCAAGTCTCCAAGCACAAGGCAAGAGTTTTTCAATCCTGTTGTCCAAAGAGGAAAGAAAACAGAAGGGAAAGATTATGTGTGAGCAATTGAGCCCTGCTGAGAGGGCAAAAACTGAAACTGGGATTAGCCAAATCTTGTAATGGAAAACAAGTCTCCTGTTGGTAATCTGGCATTTACACCTAAGAAACGTGTGCTGGGGAAAGGAGCTCAAAGGATGGGTTCAAAACAGACCAGAAGAGGAGATTAAGCAGCATCTGAAGCCAAAAAATGATGGTTGGACCTTTTCAAGCATTTAACTTCTTGTGTTAATTAAGAATGTGGCCACAGCAATTATTAAAGAACAGTTCCCAACTTAATCAAAGTACATTATTGGAAATGATACTGAGAAACCTCAGTAGAGAAACCCAGCAAGTATCAAGTCAAGCTAAATAGTTCAGTTACAATTAGTATTAATAATAAATCATGGCCACTGTTTCTTTTATTTGCCAACAACTAGCATAGTTTATAGCTCTGCACTAACCTAACACACTATTTTATTGCATTTCAGAAAGTGCATCCTCCTAAAATGATAATGTGTTAATAATCTATGCTGGGCTTTTTGACAGGAACCAAAGAGCTCAAGCAACTTGAAATAATATCAGAAAAAAAAGTATTTATTCCCCATCCCTAGTTGCAGAGAAAACAGAGGGTTTCTTGGCTTAGTTACTTCTCAATAGATTTCTGGTTTCAATTAGAACTTTGAGTCTGAAAAGTTAAAAAAAAAAAAAAAAAGCTAATAAGAGATGGAAGAGAAGTCTCCGTTCACTGTGTTTCTGCTTCCCCCCCTGCTTTTACATAACCCTTCCGAGCTAAGAGCAGAGGCTAAAGCACAACTACATTGTTTGGAGGGTTTTTCCCCTTTTGGCTAAAAGGCAAATGGCCAAAACTGAATTTAAAAAAAACAAACCTGTGTGTCTCCCTTCACGCAGAAGGCTGGCGTGGGGGTTTGCACCCCGAGGTGTTTTCCCCCTGTGTTTCTGCAGGTTTGGGGCAATGCTCCCCAGTCGTCCCGGCCTGAGGCAGGCGGGTCGGGGGCTGCTGCCGCTTGGGGCCATGGCCCCCAACAGTCCTTTTCCCACAGAGAGCCGCTGTCGCTGCCGAGGGGTGGTGATACGCTCCCTGGCAGTAGAGGGCTGGCAGCTCAGCGCTTCGCACACCTGACAGACAGACATTTCAGGCAGAGCCCCAACACCTCGGCCCCAGCAGCAGCCCGGGGTGGGGGCACCCCGTTGTTGTTTCACACCCCCCGGCATCGCCCCAGGGACCCAGAGGGGCCGGGGGACCCTGTCACCTCCAGCCCTGGGGCCGCTGCCGGTGGTGAGGTGCTCTTGGAACATCAGGCCCGAGATTATCAGCAGCGTTTATTGGAAGCGGAAACAAATTGGAAATCCTTCTCTCAGCGGCCTTTGTAGGGACAGGAATACGCACAGGAAGTGGCAAGCTGCGCCAAATACAGTGTGGCGGATGGTGCTAGGGTACTGCACGGACACAAGGACCGAATCCAACACATACTCACCGAATCCCACACTCACCCGCGCACTGCACGCTGTGAGCAGGACAGGAGGCAGCCACTGCTTCATGTCAGAGACCTGATTTCCCCATGTCCGTGGTGCGGGGGGACTGTGAGAGGGTGTGAGAGAGTAAGTGTGGGTGTCTGTGAATGTGTGACAGATTGTGTGTATGTGAGGGAGTGTGTGTGAGAGAGTGTGTGCATTTGTGTGCATGTGGGTGTGAGTACATGTGTACATGCAATTGTGCATGTATGTGCATGCATGTGTACACAAGTGTACATGCATGACTGTGTGGTATGTGTGTGCAAGTATATGTGTGAGTGCATGTGATCACGTGTACATAAGTGTGTCTCTCTGTGTGCACGTGCACATGAATGTGCATGCATATGTGTGTGTGAAAGAGTGTCAGTGTGCGCGTGTCTATGTGGGCAGGGAGCCTTGCACCAATACTTGCAAACATATACACACTACTTCCCCCCCCCCCCCCCCCCCCCCCCCCGGGCTCACTGGGGGCGTTGCGCAGGGACTAATTACCCCCCAATTAACAACACACCTCACTCTGACAACGAACGGGGGATCCCACACCTCTAAATACCCCCCAGCCCCGCTCCCGTCCAATGTCAGAGGGGTAGAGGAGCCGAGCCCCGGGGAGGGGGGGGGTGCACGTCCACCCTCATGCCCACCTGCTCACACTCAGGGATCCCAAAAAGGTTACAGAGTTGCTCTCTAGCTCCACTTAACCTGCAATTTACGAAGCCGGGGCGACTCTCCCTCCTGCTTTCCCCACGCAGAGCTGCCACCTCCCCGCGACCCCTCTGGGGGAACACATACGGGCTAGCGAATTTGGGGGGGGAGGGGAGGTAAAAGGGGGCGACACATGCAAACTCCTAAAAAAAATTGCAACCCCTTCCCAGCAGCACGCTCGTAACCATCCCCGCCCCTGAAAAAAAAAAAAAAAAAAAAAAAAAAAAGCGCCCATGCAACCCCCGGCAGCGGCAGCTACAAAGCATGGGAAGGAGTCGAGGGAAGAGGGCTCGAAGGCGTCGCAGGGCAGAGAACACCCCCCCCAAATAAAGCCCTTTCCGCGCCATTGCGAAGTCACAACACGAAAATAAAAGGAAACGACATTAACGGGAAAGGAAAGGAAAGGAAAGGAAAGGAAAGGAAAGGAAAGGAAAGGAAAGGAAAGGAAAGGAAAGGAAAGGAAAGGAAAGGAAAGGAAAGGAAAGGAAAGGAAAGGAAAGGAAAGGAAAGGAAAGGAAAGGAAAGGAAAGGAAAGGAAAGGAAAGGAAAGGAAAGGAAAGGACGAGACCCTCCCGCAATCCGGATCAGCAAGACAGACCTTTCCTCGATGCCTCCCGGTTTTTGTCGCGGGGGCTTCTTAGCAGCTTCCTCTTCTTCTTCTTTCTTCCTCCTCCTCCCTCGGCTTTCCCCCTTCTTGTCTCTTCTCTTTTAGATCCCGGTTTCGAGCCCTCGCTACAACCCCCAAAGGTGCTTTTGCTTGTGTTGCGGCAAACCCATGGCGGTGTTCATCTGTCAGGGGAGCGCACGGCCGCGCAGCACGCGCAGAGGGAGGAGGGCAGGGGGAGGAGGGAAAGCACCCGGGGAGAGGGAGATGGACGGACAGACAGACAGCTGGAGAACTCGCTAGATAAATGATAGATAGATAAACAGAGTGAGAGAGAGCGGGGGGGGGGAGGAATGGCGTCTCGGAAGCTGGAATCCTAGAGTAAATCAAATTAACACGCAACACTCAGAGAGCAATCCCGGCTAAATTTAGCAGGATCCAAAATAAAATGGAAAGGAAAAGGGGGGTGAGAAGGAGGATGGGGGGGGGGGGGGGGGAAGAAAGGAGGAAGGGAAGGAGGCAAAAAAGGAAAAAAAAAGGGAGAGCAAAAATAAAAAAAATAATAATGCACCGGATAAAATCCTGGATTTGAAATCGATGGAGCTTGTCTCTGTTTCTCTCGCTTCTCGCTTTTCCTTTTCTTTTCCTTCTTTGTTTTTGATTTTGGTTTTGAATGGGGGCTTTTTTTTTTTTTTGCTGCCTGTTCGTTGTTGCCGGTTGTTTTGGGGCCTCTTGCAGGGGGGCGCGGGGAGGGGAAGCGTTTTCGTTTTTGTTTTTTTCCCGGCGAGGAGTTGAAGGGAAAAAAAAAAAAAGGAGAAAAAGGCTTTTTTTTTTTTTTTTTTTTTTTTTTTTTGTCGGCGAGGAAGCTGTTCCCTTTATTCCTGCTCTCTTTTCCAGAACGGGCCCGGGTGCTGGTGCCGGAGGGCCGCACTGCCCCGCGCCGGGCCGGGGGAGGGCAAAGAGGAGGCGGGGGGATCCCCTCCAGCACCCCGAGTCTTTAATGGGCGCGCACCCGTTTCCACCTCCCGTCTCGGCAAGGGGGTGTTTTGGGGGCCGTTTTTTACTCCCCGCTGATTTTTATTTTTTTTTTTCTCTGTCTTGTATTTTGTCTTTGGGTCTGGGTTTCCCCCTCCCTCCCTCTTCCTCTCTGAGGGGGGCAGTGATTTGTTTAAGCAGATCTGGGGGCTTCTGGCTTCGGCTCTCTTTCCGCAGTTTCTGTCGCTCCCGGAGTCCTGCAGCACTGCCGGGGGGAGGGGGGGGGGAATAAATGGCACACAAGCACACACACGCTCACACTCGGTGTGGCTGCAATGCTCAGCCCCGGGTTAATGTACTCAACGGTGCCACTACTTGACACAGCAGCACTGATGGGGGGCAGGGGAGAAAAGGCAGAGAAGGTGAGAGACTGGGCTCAGAGCTACTCAGCCCACCCCGAAGTCTCCCCTCCCACTACCCCCTGCACATACCCTTGTGACACCGCAGCCCTTGCGGGCTCTTGCCCTGGGCAGGGGATTCTTAGGGTCCACTGACCACTGCTCAGACCTGACATGGTACTGGAGAGGGCAAGCAAAGACCTCGACAGCTTTGTGAAGGTGAGGATGAAACCTCCCCCTGTATTAATAAGTAGTAGTGCCCAAAACGTGCCCTGGGCCAGGGGATGCGAAGGCAGGAGACGTGCATAAATTGTTATGCACACAGGGTTGACTTCAAAGGATTTCTTACCTATAGTTTTGTCTTCTAGATCTAAAACATTTTGCTTTTTTAAAAAATCTCTTTCTCCGATTCTGCAGTGTGTCAGGGAGTTAGTACAATCTGAGTGGTTAATCTGCAGAAGGAAATTTACTTTTCTTTGTTCTTTTCACTTAAAAAACAGCATGGAATTCATACAGTCATTTTGGTTCCTTCAGTGGACCTGAGATGCGTTTCCTATTTGTGTATGACTTACAGATGTTTTATAATGAAGGCCATAAGCCTGTTGTTTTTATATAAATAGTATATTGAGTTAAATATGTATACAAGCCTTTCTAGGTTCAAGGTATGAATTAATGTTAGGCAGAATTGTTGGGTGACATGTAAATTAATGTAAACGAAAAAGGGTATCTTGCAAGGCCCCAGTAAAACACTGGCAGTGCTTTATGTGCTTCAAAAAATAAAATAAATGATTAAAAAACACTATTTACAGTTGTTTTAACTGCTTAAAGCAGACCATTTTGTTTATGTGTTTTAGCTTTTTAGCTCTCTAGTGCACTTCTGAGTTTTACATAGAAGATATCTATCTACCTATCTACACACACATTGACTCTTAGGCATATGCTGCTTAGCAATTCATTGGATCTCATTGCAACACGAGATGAGAGATTATACTCCAAGACAGTTGAAAATAGGGGGAAATGTAAATGTATTTTCCATTTTCTGTTCAAGAATTGGAAAATCAGCTGTTTGAACAATTGGTCAAAAAATAGAATTAACAGTGATTTTAAAAGTTGCCCTTTTATTTTGCAAATCCCTCAGACGTGGTATTGAGTTTCAACATTGTTGCGTGAATAAAGACAAACAAGAATCAAAATTCAAGGGTTGGAAACCAAGCACAAAGCTAATTTTAGTAGATATAAATACACTCTTTGGTTGTTTCTCCACTAGTATATTTACTCCCCAGCATCCCAAACCATTACTCTTGTTGAGTATTTTGATAATCAGCATCTCTTTGATAGGGACAAAAACTATGCCATACTCATTACTATCTGAAAACAAAAGAAAAAGTTTTTGTTTTCTATTTCTCAACCAGGACAATTAGAAGAAGACCTTGGTAGCTTAGCAACATTGTATTACAGCACGGGGGATGACCACATAGGAGGCTCAGGTTCAAGTCCAGACTTTCTTATCTACCAGATCTTTCCACAGCTGCCTTCCCATTATCAAACCAGTGACTAAACATTTCTCTGTAATGAGGCAGCACACAAAAGTTGCAGGGCTCATTTATGCAGCATTTGCTGATACACCAGCAGAAGACTAGGATCTGCCCTTTGCACAGGCTGCTCAGACTTGCGAGTCCTTTTGAAAACCTTTGAATGTTTGCCTCCTGTAACTCTTTCAACATCCATTGATTTGTTATTAGTCTTCCAGTTGTGATTATATTTCGCAGCCATTCCAGAGCAGACAAGTAACTCTGATCTTGTAAGTGCATGAAATTTTTTCCCTCATAAATAACTTCAAAGAAACTAATTGCTACTAAGCATCAAAACACACCCTGGATTCTCATGTGCATTGTTGATCTAATATGCTGTGGATTTCAATAACAGTTTTGCATATTATATAGAGAGAGACTTGTATATATATACATACACATACATATATATATTTAAGGCTTTATAAACTAATATAGAAGCAGGAACATGAATAAGAAACATAACACATTAGCAAAAATGTTACATCAGTCAATGAAGCCGGGTCTGGCAAGAAGGTAATTTAAAGCTACATAATTTAGGATGGGAAGTGAATGGAAATACTGAGTCTGTTTGGGAATTCTAGGTATAAAGAATTATTTGATCTAACTCTAAAAGAAAGTCATAAAATGAACTGATAACTAGGAGTTGAAATCAGAAAGAAGATCACATTGCTATGAAGATGTACGTGGTTCATAGTGATTAATCATTCCAGAATTTTAGTAGGAAGATTGGTAAAAATCACCATCTCATGACATTTTCAGGTTGGAGACTGGATGACTTTCTATAAGATATTTTTTAGCCAGGCAAAAGTAATTGGGTTCAGGACAAGAGCAGACATAAAATGAGTTAAGAACTGCCTAACTGACAATTCCCTGAAAGTAATTATCAATGCAAAATTATTGTCAAAGAGGAGTGTTACTAGAGTTTTCCCCTATGCTATTCATCAGTGATCTGGAAGTAAATATAAAACTACTCCTGATGACATTTGTAGAAAACATTATGGTTGGCAAAATAGCAAAGAATAAGAGTCCAGGGTGGCCTGGTGAAAAAAGCTGCACCGCTTGGCTCAGGCAAACAAAATGCATTTTAATGCTAGTTCTGCTTCTTGGGAACTCAGACAAAAGCCCTGTAATGTGACCGACTGCAGCCTGGAGAAACACCACAGTGCCAGCTCAGAGCTGGACCCTCAAATCCCAAAGTGCTGATGTGATCCTTGGCTCTGCAGCCAGGTGACCTGCAGTGTATAGCATTGGTAAGGCTGAACCTGAGAGGCTGTTTATGGGTCTGACAGCCACATTTCAAAACATATGGTGACAAAATTGGAGAGGGTACAGAAAAGAGCCACAAAAATGATTGAGGGCTGGAGAAAATGATTTGCAGGGCAAGCAGTGAAGAATTATGTTTAGCTATGAGAAACAGTTTCAATTTTGGGGAGAAAATGACTTGTAGGGGAGGAAATTACAAGGTAACAAAGGCCTAGAAATAAGCACCTAATTTCTCATTGGAGCTGGCCTGGGAAACTTTCTCCCTTCAGCATTTCCTACAAAATGTTTTAAGTGACCCCTACCCACTGTAAATCCAACTAATCCCTAAGTCTGTCCAGGAACTGTAATGGAAAGACCTCAGTTAAAGCTTTGAGGTCCACTTCGTGGATAGATGTTTTATTTCCCCAGAGTAATTCTGGATTTGCCCAGGGATTCCTTTCTGGAAACAAAGGTTTATCTGAAAGAATTAAATTATTCTTTAGCCTAAACCAAGGTGAAACACTGATATCCCTGACAGGCTGGAGACAGACTAGGTGACCTAGATGGTCCTTCCTGGCTTGACAGTCTTTGAAAATAAATTTCCATAAGAATCATGTAAATGTCCGTCCAAATTTGTCTGACAGCAATGTGTACATAGCCCAGCTCTCACAAAAAGTCCTATATAATTCTGATCACATCCTACTACTCCTAGTTGAAAATATCAGACTGTAGAAACACCACCATAAGGTGAGTACAAATCATGACTTTTCCTAAGGAATTATAGAATGAGTGCAACTGGAAGTTTTTGCTTTGACAAACTGTGCTAAGGAAGATTTCTCCAATCCAGGATGGACTTGGCAGAGAAAGTGACAGTGTCACCTTCATGGCAAGATTTCTGTGGTAATGTGTGATATGACTTACATTTCCAGCCTATCCAAGTCAGAGCAGATACCTGAACCTCTTCTTCTAGATAAGTGCTCCACATGTGACACAGTTGGCTATTCTTGAATGGGTCTGCCATTGCATTTAGTGGGACTGATCTGTTAGGCATGAATAGCATTAACTGGATCAGGGATAACTGATTGTCTTTACCCATGGATGTCCTATGGAAAGGACAATTTTAATTAATTTATTTTTTCTTCTGAAAACAAACAAACAAACAAACACATAATAGACTCAGTTTTATTAAAGTATGAACTGCACTCCCCTTACCACCTCCCCAAAAAAACTGTGCATCAAAAAAACTTGTGCACATCACTTGGACGTGCACAAGTCGATGGGGCCGGATGGGATCCACCCAAGGGTACTGAAAGAATATGCAGAGGAGCTGGCCAAGCCACTTACCATCATTTATCAACAGTCCTGGCTATCGGGGGAGGTCCCAGTTGACTGTCGGCTAGCAAACGTGACGCCCATCTACAAGAAGGGCCGGAGGACTGACCCGGGAAACTACAGGCCTGTCAGTTTGACCTCAGTACCAGGGAAGCTCATGGAGCAGATCCTCTTGAGAGTCATCACGCAGCACTTGCAGGGCAAGCAGGCGATCAGGCCCAGTCAGCATGGGTTTATGGAAGGCAGGTCCTGCTTGACGAACCTGATATCCTTCTATGACAACGTGACGTGCTGGGTGGATGTCGTGGTTCCGCTCGAGTGGGCAGCCGAGCCCCACCACAGCCGCTCTCTCACTCCCCCTCCTCAAAGAGGAATGGGGAGAAAATATGCGAAAAAAGGCTCAAGGATTGAGATAAGGACGAGAAAACCACACAATAATTATTGTAACGGGCAAAACAGACTCAGCATAAGAAGATAGATAGTAAGATTTATTGCTCATTACTAACAAGCTAGAGAAGTGAGAAACAAAGGAAAGAAACCAAAAGCACCTTCCCCCCCATCCACCCTCTTCCACCTCCTCCCCCCCGAGCGGCGCAGGGGAATGGGGGAATGGGGGTTATGGTCAGTCTACAGTGCTTCTTCTCTGCCGCTCCTTCTCGGTCACTCGTCCCCTGTGCTGTGGGGTCCCACCCACGGGATGCAGTCCTTGATGAACTGATCC